TGGTCCACAGATGAATCAAACCCAGGGCCAACTGAGGTGCAGTGGCACCCGGGCAGAGGAAAGCACTGTTTTGGTTTGTGTCTGATTAAACCTAACAAAAGAGTGTTTTAACATTCAGACAGGCGATATGTACCCACACAGATTTGTTATGGGTCGTTCCAGAGGTTTAACTGATCAAATAAAGCTTCATAATCAAGACACTGAGAAAAAGATCGATGCGTTCACGTTGTTCTGTAAAGAGCCCAGCAGTGAGTGCAGTCCTGCCCACCTGTCTACCTGCCTGCATGGCATCTTTTAGGTCGTTCTCTTTAACAATTTATTTTCACACTTTTTCTCTTTCTAAGGCAAAAAAAGCCCTCGAGTACATATAGTAGATCACAGTTCATACGTCACTGTTGCTGCAAACTGTCTTCAGGTCAGTTGTTTGGTTGGTTTGCTGCAAATTTAAGCTGATATATGTTCAATTCACCAGTAAACAGTCTGTAAGCGGCTCACAGTACAACATTAAAACCATCTGGGTGGGTTTAGGGTGTGGATTCTGTGGATACAACTTGTTCCACACGACATTTCCTGGGATAAAGTTGGGTTAATGCCTTGGACTCTTTGGTGAGTTCCTCAAGATGTTCCTGAGCAGTGTTTGGGAATGCTGCTGCTGTCAGAGAGTGTCATGGAGTGCATGTGTATTACAGGATAACATTGTCTCTAATGAGATGATCGTTTTTATGATATTATATTCATATTCTTTTTATTCAAAAGCATCTGTCAGCAGTTTCTGTCTTGTTTTGTGGTCTTCTAATGAGGACGCACTGCTGCTAAAAGCTACTGATGTGTTTAGTGACCAAAGATGATTTAGTATAGTCGGTTCGTGTCGAGAACTTGTTGTTGCACATCTGTTTTCTGTTGTTTGTCAAGAAATCTAGAGTGGTGGCTTGTCATTTCTGCTAATTGTAGTGTTTACGTTAACCTCTTGACATCTACCAGATCACTGGGATGGGGAGGGTTGTGTTGTTGTTTAACAACATGCTAAACAAATATAGTTTTAGAAACTTAAAGATCAAACTTGTTCGACACTTGTTCAGCTTCCTTACTCTGTGTTGTAATTTTGCCTTCTGGGTATTCCAAATATGGGTGGATGTAAATCGAATCCTAGCCCTAATTAGGTTTCCAGAAACCCATTGGAAATTTCTCAAAATGTCCCTTTTGTGGAGATCAAGAATTTTGGCAAATGCACAAAATGATTATTTCCTAATATTCCACAGATACCAGAGTCATCATCTACTTTGACAGGAAGGTGCTGAACTGAATGCATTCTGCTATCTTTCTCCTCTCATAGCTTGCTTTGTGCAGTAAAACATTATATGAGCAGTGCAACTGTGTTTCTGGACTCCCTCATTTTTCTTTCAGAGCCGTGTTGTTGGTCCCCAGAGTAAACTTAAGCCTCTGTCCACTGCTGCATCTTGAAGGGTCTCGCATGTACCTCTTAAATTGAAGGCTGTAACCTTGGTTAAACAAGAACCTTGTGCTCACTTCATAACTCATGATGCTGTCTGTCTCCCGCCAGTTGCACACCATTCATGACACAAGGCCATGCGCTATCTTGACTGCACACAATGGACCCAATCTCCCTCAAACACAAGTCTGTTTTGGATTACCTGTCTGAGTACACGACTCCCTGGAGGCGTAAATATACATGTAATCCATCTGAGCGTGTCTATGCATTCACACATGTTGAAGAACTAACTTAGCTTTAGAGCTTTAGCCAATTTTAATATGTTCTCAGGGCGCATGACCCTTAAACAGCAACTGGGATAAAGCTAAGCATGTTTACAGCTAGGCCGATCTTGTGTCTTTTATTTGAAGTCATTTTAAATTTATCATAAATTAGGAGTGTGGGTTCAAAGAGCACAGGGAGAC